TTTTTTTTTTTTTAAAAAAAGAATTAAGAAAAAGGAAGTGCTCCGCGCAGAACAATATCGATACAAACATACATCGTGTGAAAAAATTGAGCATTGGTCCAGTGGCTAAAATCAGCTCTGCTATACATGCTAGTTACAGACCCTTTTTATACCAGCTTCCTAGCCTAGTTTCCCAACAAAAGTATCCCTAGACGACCTTCCTCTATCCACTGACCGCCTCGTTATTTTAATTTCGGAGGTCCCGTGCAGAGGTATTTCCGTAGAAACAGGCTCATTCATTGGAACATAATCTAGCTCATGTAGCTCCAGCCACTTCTGGGATCTCGAGACGATGTGTACTATCTCATCCCTTACCGCATTCTCGGCAGAAACCAGTAGTAAAGTTCGCCCGCCATGTTCGTTTTGGTCACTATCACTGATAACGCAGCTTTGTTCCAAAAGCTGAAACCTCACCTCATTTTCAAAGTCCACCGGCTGCTCAATTAGTTGTTGCAAGTCGGGGACGTGTGGAAGTATTGTCGCGCGGCCTAGTTGGCTAGGCTGGCGCTCCGACTCGTCACAAATGAACACTCTTATTCTCTGCTCAAATTAGTCGTGACGCCCCAACTTTTTTGTCGTTGCTTCAACAAAAAATTAACAGACCTCATCTCCTTTGAGCAATTGTAAATTTACTGCGTCTCGTACGACGGTAGCTGTATAAAGTCAGTGTCAGTCAAACCGGCATTTGTACGAAACCTACAAAGCTTTTTGGTTATATAAACCAAAACAATCCTACTCGTTGCACTCCGTGAGCGATTCGTACGGACTATGTCCTCGATGTAACTAAACATGGGCCAAATGCCCATACCTGTCATGACCATAATCACGGTATTCGCCGAAGTGTGTCTTATAGGTGTTCCATGCGGCCCACTGAAGAGGACCAGACGTTCAACAGTTGCACTTTCGTGGCAACTCTGCAAAAGTTTCATTGTAAACCCCTTTCTAGCTTGAATAAAAAACTCCAAATCCATCTGTCCCGTGTTAGGATGCCAGGTTGAAGTGGCAATCGTGAACGGGTGCATTGACCAAAGCTGGACGCGGGGAAGCCAAATGTTCATGTACTGGCCTGGTCCAACTTTCAATTGGCTTGAGGTTCGCAGCCGCATATGAACAACTCCATCTAAGTTCGAGACACGTGCTAAAAATGCCCGTGGCCATGGACTACCTAGGGTCTTGTTTCTGTATATCATGCGCGAAAAAATAAACAAATTTAATGTGCATGTCATGGTAAGATATATATAAAAGGGCAGTCTACTCAAGTAAGAAATGGAGAGCAGATGCCAGGCCACACCAAATACCAGCAGTAAAGCAGAACACTGATGGGCCCTGAAGAAGACCTCATAAGACAGTCTCTTGACGACGGATGCAATCAGAATTAAAGCAATAGAAGCTATTGTCTGGAATTGTTAAGTCCTCACCTTGTTTAGATGAGAATATAACTTACCATGATCTTATCGATATCCGGGGAGTCGATCAAAAGGATGGAGGGCTTGGCCGCAAACTTGGCTGTTGCATGGAATACGCAAAGACAGATTGACATGGTGCCTGCAGCTCGGTGTACACCAGTGAAGTTTCGAACAGAAGTGTTCACCAAATCAGCTATCGAGGACAGGCTCGGTGCGATGAATAGCGGAATCAAGTTGGCTATGGCCAAGTACCCTGCTTGAGATGCAGCTTCATCCAAGGAGGAAACAGCGACAAGTTTTGTACTTGAGTCTTTCCGTTGCCAAACAGAACATAGACATACTAGATTAACTCCAACGTACGAAAAATGAAGCAAGACACTCCGAAGACTCCACGGGCCTACCAGTGAATGCCTCTTTATTACATTACGACGGAGGAAGTTTCTCCCAGTAACTGCCCATGTCGTAAATCTTTCATGGGGAAACATGTAATTGGCCAAAATAAGAAGAAAAATAATCACGAGACAAAGAGCATATATCTGATACAATTCCGGGAACGACATATCAAATTAAGCACCAAAAGTGCTTGAAGACTTTTCCTCAGGGTTCCCGACTTATAAAGTAATCAGTTTTTCCGTCCTCGGCAAAATTTGGCTCCCAGCGTTAGCAAAAGATATAACTCAGAAACTCACTGGGTGCATAGGTGAGAACTGACCGCAACTCAAATATATAATAAATACGTTGATGTACATATTTACCCCACCTCTCATAGACCCGAATTTGGCCTTATACGCTTTTGGAAAGGCAAATTCGATGAAACAATGACGTCCTTTATTATTAATAATACAAAATCTTGTTTACGGAAGTGTACAGTATACGAGGGCGTTCGATTCCACAAGACATTTACTAAATGCCGAGTAACGAAAGCTATACTCAGCATTAATTGCATACAGTCAATACTTCTATTCGACTGCTTATCTAGTTCCTTGGACTACATTAACTCTTTCCGGGTTCCTCTGAAATCTCCCTGTAAAGTCGCTTACTATTCACCTCAGCCAAAGCAAAAAGTGCCATGAGTGACTCCTTTGTCCAGCGAGAGCTCAAAACACCTTCCTGTTCTTTATGTGAGCCAAGATTCTAGGATAAAGGCCAGGTCACTAACCTTGCGGAGTTTGACTGCAGAGTCGGATGATGCGGCATGGTCAACAAAATTGTGGAAACTTTGCCAGCGACGTTGATCTTTAATATGTGGATCATCTTTATACATCAGCCTTAGTGCGATTTTGTGCAAAGCCCTCGCGTTTGACACGCCAATCTCCTGTGTCATTTCTTGGAAGTATTCCTGATTTGCTGATGAACGTTAGCTGAATGTTGTAAACTAATTGCACAATGGGATGATACCAAGTTTAATATGGCCTTGCAGGTTTGCAAGGATAGTGTGGCAGTCAAGGCGCCCGTGTCCTAAATTGTGCTCCGCAAGAAACACTAGCCCATCTAAGATCTGACAACTGGTTAGCTCATAATTAGCGTGTGTTATCCCGACAGCATACTTGTACCAGGATAGCGACCAGTTCGGAGTTCGTCGGATAGAGAGCACACTGCACGACATGGTTGAGGCTTATTTGCATCTCCTCCAGGACGATATAGTGAAGACCCGAGACATCGAATACACTCACGACCTCAACAATGTTGGATTCAGCGCTGGAATCGCGACCGATTTCAAAACGAGCTAAAGATTCTGCTCTCAAATCCAGCTTTCGTAAATGGACACGGCGGTTATTACTAGAAATCACCAACGATATCTCTCTGTCCGGAAGGTAGTAGATTTCTTTATAGTTGCGCCAAGTCTCGTTGCCCCCTTTCCCAACCCGGTCCCGAACTGCCACGGCGTTACCCTTACTGTGTCTCCCGGGCTGAGGCCCGGTGGTCCGTGGCTGGCCGTAGTTGGCGGCCGACACGGGCTCTCTCCCAGAAACTGAATTTGCAGAGTTTTCTTCCAGATAACTTTGGCCGATTTGCGTGTACCGGCGCTTATCCATGGCGAGTTGAAGCAATTGCACAGCTCCACTAATCGTAAGATTTACGATCTCAAAAGTGGACAGTGCTTGTAGTAGCAAACAAGAATCACTAAAATGCAAATAGAACGATTATATTGATTCACTACTGAGTAGTATTGATAGAGGACCATGATACTTTGGTCTCTTATAGACTTGGGCCCGCAACAAGCAGCTCCACCCAAATATTTTATTTGCGCCAGGAACTGGCTGTATTCTACTCAGCCAGAGCAGATTATGGATGAGTTGCTGCGGCCATTTATGTGGGGAAATACTCTTTATAGTGCTCACTACAGTGGAAGCTTTGACGCCGTGCAGACGCCTCATGAAGGCGAGTTTTGAAGCCTCACCTTTCGAGTGATTTTATGCTATTTAACCAGGCATGACATCTGCACATATGAAAACACAAATCTTAGATTTGAAGCCACTACGTAAGCAAATATATGCATGAGCAACAGCACGATAAAACGTACAAAGTCAGACCTGGTCGGTGTGGCAATGACACTATTTAGAATATAAGTGCGCTGCTCTATCTGACAAAAAGTCGAGATCCAGCTCTTTTCGTTTGCTAACCAGCAAAATAGCATTAATTCCCGAATCTTGTGCGCTCTTCCAACAATCGGGTATATTGATAGTACCCAGTTCGACTCTGTGCATGGTATGGTTCCAAAATGCACGGACCAAATAGTAGTCCTGGAATAGCTGGGCAGCTGCCCCCTGGACTTTGTCTTCATTGGCACCCTCGATCTGTAGTACATCCCTCCATTCGTAGCCTTTGTGTTCTTTGAAGCAGACGCATACGGGTCCTTTTGTTTCCGCCTTTCGCTTTCTTTGTTTACTTACTTCATCTTGCTCGACGGTTTGCTCCGTAGCGTACATCTGAATATCGTTGTACTGCTCCTCGTTTACCTGACCAATATTGTTCACTCTGCAAGGGCTCTGTGCTGTCTTTGTCGGGACAGAACCAACTTGGATCCCTCCCGAATCTATTGGAGGAAATACGGGATAGGGCCTGGTAGTAGAACGGAAGAATGCAAGGCACAGTCCTCTCAACCGGCCAAATGTACTCATATGGGTTCCTGGAGTAGCATCGGCATTAAACTTGTCCCAGCGCAAGTAGAATTGATCACTTTCGAAGGACTGTATATCTGGATAACCAAATTTGTATGGTACACTCTCTTCTTGGACGAGCTTTGGTGAGGATGAAGTGGCTAGGATTAAGCTAGTGTGGCGAGATTCCGCTGCGGAGTCATTCAGAGGGTTTGCAAGATTCGACAACTTCACAGATTTGAACCCTAGTTTTTGGGCTGAAATTGACATGAATTGTAAAATAACTGTATCGGGCGAGCCGTGTCTGGGTTTTTCTCGCAACTGTATCTTCGCCCGACGAGGTGGTGGCTGCGTCTTTGAGTAGAATCTTAATACAATAAGCCACATATCAGCAAGCCTATCTTGAAAACAATTTTCGTCTCCAAAGTACGTTCGCTTAAGTGCCGACGTGAATGTTTCGTGTTTCTTCCTATCGAATAAATTGCTCATGGATCTTGAACAATCCCCTAGAACTTTAATGTCATCAAAGAATGAATCTAATGACGGAATAGCGAATGGAAGTTGTGTCAGCCTTTGTTTCAAGTCATTTCGCCAGGATGCGTCACAGTGTTCAAATATCAGGGCTCTATCGATCAGAGTGGCTATGTTCTGCCCATCTTCCTTTGAATATCTTGGACATTTGTTTTCCAATGCTTGTACGGTTTTGATGTCGATGGCGGCGGAACCAGCTATGAAGTCCCACGTATGTTTTATGAACTCCAAATATGCGATAATCTGCTACGTGACTTATGAGATATGAATGACAATACAATACAGCGACGCCGAATAAAGGTTGTTCAGTTACCTCGTTACACTTTATGTAAATCACCTTGTGCATAAGCTTAGGCCAATATCCGGCTCGCAGCCCTGGGGCATCTAGAACTTTATCTAGTGCTGCAGCAATGTCACCGTGCTCGTCCTCGAGGAGCTTCTTAGCATATTTTTGACCGTGAAGCGACGATATTCGATCAAAGTGTAGTTGCGCATCGTCTGTGTGGCCATTCAAAAAAGCTTGGCGGCCTGTCCAGTAGCAGTCTATGTCTTGTTGACGGGCTTGCCAGTGTCTTTTGTCCCGTTTATCCTCTCGGGGCATTTTGGCTAGGTTGAATCATATGACCCACGGGGTTCTATACTGATTTGAGCATGGGTAGCCAGCTATTACCCTTAGAAACGAAATGTATTTCGCTAAATTGTTTATATAACAATTTATAGCGAGGTAAATTCTGGACACCTTCCACTATATTGCATTATATGTTACCCCTGTGAGAGGCTGAGCCCGTTTTTTCAACATATGGGTGCCGTACAATTGTCTATCTAAAGCTAAGGAGGAAAGTGAGAGAGCAAGCTCGAGGCGAGTCTCGAGCTTGCGATCATATGGTTGCGCGTGGCAACTTAGGCGAAATGAATCTGATTTACACAACATATCTAGTTCACGTATGGTAAATATACTAATATTTGTGCACTTCATACTAATATGTAATTGGTCCTAACACCGCTTCCTCCGGGATTGTACTACATCATCAGAAATTGGATGATCCCTACATATTCTAGGATCATGGACCGTAGACTACAGATTAAAAGAAGCCGATTACATGCCTTTGTTAGAGCATTAATGGAGCTACTTCGGAGATCAGCGTAGTCAATTCAAATAACCACGTTAGTTTTAGATTATTCCTGGGATCAACCAGCATCGTTTTCTGATCTCTGCTCCTGGGACTAACTGGCGTCGATTTCTGACGTCTGCTCCTAGTATCTGTTCTCCTAGGATCAGCTAACGTCAATTTAGGGTCTCTGCTCCTGGAATCTGTACTCCTAGGATCTGTGCTCCGAAACTGACGCTAGTTGATCCCAGGAGTACAAGTCCCTGGACCATTGCTCCTGGGACTTGTACTCCTGGGATTTATACTCCTAGGATCTGTACTCCTGGGATCTATACTCCTGGGATCTATACTCCTGGGATCAATTAACGTTGGTTTCGGACTGCTACTCCTAGGACTTGTACTCCTGGGATCTATACTCCTGGGATCAACTAGCGTTAGTTTCGGACGTCTGCTGCTGGGATATGTGCTCCTGGGATCTGTACTCCTGGGATCTATACTCCTGGGATCAATTAACGTTGGTTTCGGACTGCTACTCCTAGGACTTGTACTCCTGGGATCTATACTCCTGGGATCAATTAACGTCGGTTTCGGACCGCTGCTCCTGGGACTTGTACTCCTGGGATCTGTACTCCTGGGATCTATACTCCTGGGATCTGTACTCCTGGGATCTATACTCCTGGGATCAATTAACGTCGGTTTTGGACCGCTGCTCCTGGGACTTATACTCCTGGGATCTATACTCCTAGGATCAACTAGCATCGGTTTCAGACGTCTGCTCCTAGGATATGTGTTCCTGAGATATATACTGCTGGGATCAGCTAGTATTGGTTTTGGACTTGTGGTCCTGGGATCTGTACTCCTGGGACCTGTGCTCCTGGGACCTGTGCGCCTAGTATCTAACGGCGTCCAATTTTGGATATCTGCTCCTAGGATTAAAGGGCGTTTATTTATTTATATATTCATTTATTCACAGACTGTCCCAGCCGCGTAAGCAGCTATGCAGCGTTCAACTACCCATACAAGTCTTCCGTTTCTCGCTTCTGGGAATTAAGCCGTTCTTGCCTCGAACTGCTTCCTCTTCCGCTCAAACGCTGTTGCTATAGTACGAATAGTTATCCTGATGGTTCTGTATCTGTGAACTTGTCAGGCCCTTCCCGGTCCTCCTCTACTTCTATTTGACAATAATCACTCTTCTGCTATGGATATTGGAGTACTGTAGACGGTACTGCTCGGAACTGCCTGAGCAGACCCGTCCGAAGGATCATCTTGGCTGCTTGTGCTGCCATTGACGAGCTACAGAGAATACGCTTGATGTCAGCGCATGGTGCTTTGCCTGCCCACATCGTTTGTCGTTCTTTGTCCAGTTTCTTCTGCATTCGAGCAGAATATGGCGTACCGTCTGAGGTCCATATCCACAGGGGCATTTATCGCTATCTGCCTTATCGATAGAGTGCAGGCACGCGCGGAGGCCGATCTTGGCTATACGCATCTGCGTGATCACTGAGCTGATGGCTCTGTGTGTTCCGCTGTGTGTGTCGAGGGTCGCCTTGTGTCGGGCAAAATCCACTGCAG